AAAAAAAAAAATGTAGGGTCGATTCCACAAGTGTCAGTAAACTGTAGGCTCGATTCCACTAGTGACAGTAAAATGTTACTGACACCGGTAAAATGTAGGGTAGGCCTACATCCACGTAAAAAAACAAAATGTACCGTCGATTCCACAAGTGTCAGTAAAATGTAGGTTCGATTCCACTAGTGACAGTACAAGTGTTACTGTACTTTGTCCAGTTTGGTGGAGAATATCGTTAAATGTTACTGACACCGGTAAATTGTAGGGTAGGCCTACATCCCCGTAAAAAAACAAAATGTACCGTCGATTCCACAAGTGTCAGTAAAATGTAGGTTCGATTCCACTAGTCACAGTACAAGTGTTACTGTACTTTGTCCAGTTTGGTGGAGAATATCGTTTAAATGCAATGGAAGTTTACCTGTATTTTTCTGAATTTCAAAAATTCAGGCAGAATTGTAAATATTATACTGTCTCGCAACGTAAATTTAAGTAAATTAGGTTGAACTGCACAGAAAAAACAAACGGACGCAGCATAACGTGTAGTTATAATTGTTATGACATGTAAATAGAACGATAAATTTAGTGTAAATACAGAAAATGTATAATATAATTTATTTCATGATATTGTAACAAGCAAACGTTGAATAAATTCCTAATTCGTATTAAAAAAATTATTTAACACAATAATTTCAGCTTTATTATGATTATTCTTGATAAATGAACACAGGTCAACTTGATTTTTAATCGTTATAATCTTTAAATTCAGTGTGAATAGAGAAAATGTGTAATATAATTCATTTCACGATATTATAACAAGCAAACGTTGAATAAATTTTTATTTCCTATAAAAGGAATTATTTAAAACAATAATTTTAACTTTACTATGCAATATCGTTTACCTGTGTTTTTCTGAATTTCAAAAATTCAGGTAGAATTGTAAATATTATACTGTCTCGCAACGTAAATTTAAGTAAATTAGGTTGAACTGCACAGAAAAAACAAACGGACGCAGCATAACGTGTAGTTATAATTGTTATGACATGTAAATAGAACGATAAATTTAGTGTAAATATAGAAAACGTATAATATAATTTATTTCATGGTATTGTAACAAGCAAACGTTGAATAAATTCCTAATTCGTATTAAAAAAATTATTTAACACAATAATTTCAGCTTTATTATGATTATTCTTGATAAATGACCACAGGTCAACTTGATTTTCAATCGTTATAGTCTTTAAATTCAGTGTGAATAGAGAAAATGTGTAATATAATTCATTTCACGATATTATAACAAACAAACATTGAATACATTTTTGATTCGTGTAAAAAGAATTATTTAACACGATAAATTTAGCTGTACTATGGTTATTTTTAATCTACGACCACAGGTCAACCTGATTTTTAATCCCTACGAAATTAATTTAACCACGAGTAAGTAACGAGAACGCTAAAACCTATGTTTCCATTGAAGAATATTGTAAAAACGTATAAATTGTTATATGCAATGTTATAACAAATTGTCGGAAGTATAAATTTATAACAAAATTGTGAAAATTGATAAATTATACCGTGTTACGATAACGGAAATCTCCCGCGGAAATCTCCCGCGAAAATTTCCCGCGAAAATTTCCCGCCTGACCTAACCGACGATTTTGCTAATGACTTTGGGGAGAGGGTACCGCAGGTATATAAGGACCCTCCGATGTCCCGCCAACTTATTCACCCTTTATACTGGGCCATAGACACTTCGCGGCGTATTTTGACCTGAAGGTTCTGAGATGTGAATAGAGTGGTCGGGGGCTACTAGCTAGCCTATGTCCACCCTGTACACACTCAGCCTTCTTGTAACACTTGTATACATTAGAATCAATTAGAATTTCAATACAATAGACTGAATAACAATTCATTTTAACTAATACCTATTAGAAATTTTCCTTTTAAAACAAATATAAATCATTTTACCAATTACTGGTACTTGCTAGACATTTAATATCAGACTTTAAATATTCTCCTTTCGGTTCTTTTAAATACAATCAAATAATTTCTTCAATTATCGATACTGACTTGGAATACTCCGCTTCGAATAAAATATTTCGAAATTATTTTGAAGGTTTAGGGAAATAAACATTTGAATTTTAGTCATCGTTGTTCTTCAGACTTGTCGAATAGGATATTGAAATGACTTTGAGCAATTGAAATTAATTTGAAATTTTTCATATATTTTCTCTGATATTGAATTTATTTTATGACTTGCTATTTTGTTTACTAATAATTTACCATCCAACGAATTTGCATGACTGGTGCTTGCTAGACATTTAATATCAGACTTTAAATATTCTGCTTTCGGTTCTTTTAAATACAATCAAATAATTTCTTCAATTAGCGGTACTTGGATTACTCCGCTTCGAATAAAATATTTCGAAATTATTTTGAGGTTTAGGGAAATAAACATTTGTATTTTAGTCATTTCAATACTATAGACTGGATAACAATTCATTTTAAATATACATATTCGAAATTTTCCTTTTATAACAAATGTGAATCATTTATATTATTACTGGTGCTTGCTAGACATTTAATATCAGACTTTAAATATTCTGCTTTCGGTTCTTTTAAATACAATCAAATAATTTCTTCAATTAGCGGTACTTGGATTACTCCGCTTCGAATAAAATATTTCGAAATTATTTTGAGGTTTAGGGAAATAAACATTTGTATTTTAGTCATTTCAATACTATAGACTGGATAACAATTCATTTTAAATATACATATTAGAAATTTTCCTTTTATAACAAATGTGAATCATTTATATTATTACTGGTGCTTGCTAGACATTTAATATCAGACTTTAAATATTCTGCTTTCGGTTCTTTTAAATACAATCAAATAATTTCTTCAATTAGCGGTACTTGGATTACTCCGCTTCGAATAAAATATTTCGAAATTATTTTGAAGGTTTAGGGAAATTAAAATTTGTATTTTAGTCATTTCAATACTATAGACTGGATAACAATTCATTTTAAATATACATATTGGAAATTTTCCTTTTATAACAAACATAAATCATTTTACCAAATACTGGTACTTGCTAGACGTTTAATATAAGACATTGAATATTTTCCTTTCGGTTCTTTTAAATACAATAATATAATTTCTTCAATTAGCGATACTCACTTGGAATACTCCGCTTCGTATAAAATATTTCGAAATTATTTTGAAGGTTTAGGGAAATAAACATTTGAATTTTAGTCAGTTCAATACTTTAGACTGGATAACAATTCATTTTAAATATACCTATTAGAAATTTTCCTTTTATAACAAACATAAATCATTTTACCAAATACTGGTACTTGCTAGACGTTTAATATAAGACATTGAATATTTTCCTTTCGGTTCTTTTAAATACAATCAAATAATTTCTTCAATTATCGATACTGACTTGGAATACTCCGCTTCGAATAAAATATTTCGAAATTATTTTGAAGGTTTAGGGAAATAAACATTTGAATTTTAGTCATCGTTGTTCTTCAGACTTGTCGAATAGGATATTGAAATGACTTTGAGCAATTGAAATTAATTTGAAATTTTTCATATTTTTTCTCTGATATTGAATTTATTTTATGACTTCCTATTTTGTTTACTAATAATTTACCATCCAAGGAATTTGCATGAGTTGCATGTTAAGTAGTTAGTTCCTCTTTTCGGTTCTTTTAAATACAATCAAATAATTTCTTCAGTTATCGATACTGACTTGGAATACTCCTCTTCGAATAAAATATTTCGAAATTATTTTGAAGGTTTAGAGAAATAAACATTTGAATTTTAGTCATCGTTGTTCTTCAGACTTGTCGAATAGCTTATCTCTTTGTGATAAACAATTGGCAAGCAAACGGTGGCTCGCTAAAGCGATATATTATGAAATTAAATTAATCACTCAATAAGTTTTAACGTTAGATTGTTTCCTGGATATGGCCATGGTGGTCATCAGTGACTGGAATGCCTCAAATGTTTAGAATAATTAAAATAAAATACATGTTGACAACTAAAAATTTTGAACGTCATAGCTAGCTAGACATTATTTTCAATTGAAAAAAAAAAAAATTATAAAGCATAATACTATAATCCTATGCTTAAAATGTATTTTCTTGTGGCCGCCTGGCAGCAACCTGTAAATCTGGCGTGACAGTGAACGTGTTAATAAGTAAATGTTGTTCAAATTATGTCGTGTTTTATGTCATTTTCATCAGAAAAATCTCACCAACATGTTAAGAAAAGTTTCGGGATAAAAAAACGTAAAATTAAAAAAGTTGATATTTAAAACGCTTGGTTTCCTCGACCCACGTTTCATGCTTATCTTTTATTCGCTGTCCTTGTCTACGTTCGGCAAACTACAAAGGCGTGCGCGAGGCTCGAAAACGTAGTCCCTGACTCTACGAGTGTCCGGTTTAGCTTCCTTGCGGTCTGACAGTTGTGGAGAATATACTGTATGTCAAGAATTTAATTTCATAAACTTTGAAAATTGTGGATGATAAAATATTTGATCTGTCAGTGTTTGAATGTCAAGGATCATAAAATCATCGATTGGTAGACATCGAGAGTAAAATAAAATAAGCGAATTAATAACGACACTAAACGAAAATTGAAAAAAGAATTTCAGAAATCGAACGTTACTGCTTATTATCACTCTACTCTTAGCTTACTTAGTTTCGTTACTGTTGTGAAACAGGATCATTATCACGTCATTAAATCTTCGTAACTGATGAATATGTTATAAACGAACGTCGCGACGAACGATGTCGAATCGATCGTTAGTGGGTTCGATTGTTCGTGTTTAAAGACCTAATCGGTCGATCGTAATTACCGTACGAACGATAAATCTATTTCTAATTAAGATCGTGACGTCTTGAGAAAATGAGGAATCATGTACTATATACTTATCACTGAAACACTATATCGTACGAGTTTGCATTCTCTTTCGAGCTGAAAAGTGTTTCGAACGAAATAACATTCGCATTTCTACAACATAATTTTCCTCTAAATTTGACAAATTGTTGTAAAGCAACATTTTATTTTTTCTCTTCAAATTTTCATCTCACTACGAAGCCAGTTTTGTTCATACATGTTACAAACGTTGTCAATTTTATGCGAGAATATCGTTTTGCTAAAAAATTAATTTTTCAAGGAAGTCAATTTGAAAGCACAGAAATTTCAGTTTATTTCAGAGACTTGCCCTAATCTATTTTATTTTATCTATTAATTAGCATAAATGAATATTACAAATTTCCAATAAAATTTAGTTGCAGAGTACGAGTAGAAATTTTCCAATTCACTGAAATTCGAATTTTCAGAGTCTATATTCCATTCTATATTTTCGTGAAAAGCAACTGACGTGTAAAAGTTTCTGTAAATTTTTCTCCGCGCGTTATCGCTCAAGTCGCTAAACGGTGAAAAACGGCGCAGGTGAGCTCTCTGTCGAATAAATGGCGAAAGAAATTTATGCACCAATTAATGGTGCAGGGAGACGTAATACCAGGGATGAGACAGAAACAAGTGCTGCGCTGCAGTCACTTATCTTCGGAAAACAAGTTGCCTGGAAACTTAGCTGGCCGGCCTAAAGAGTTGTGGGACGAGGAGTACTTCGAAGATGGAATGTGGAAATCGAAGCCACGAAAGAGGCCTTTAATAGGCGCTATGGACTCCTTATTAGATATGCCTGGATTCCAGCCGTTGCCACGTAAGAATTTCATAATGTATCTAGAATATTTCCCTCGTACGAGCTTTTATCGCGAGTCACCGACTCTTTTTCTTCGATTCGTCTCAACGTTCCCGGCCGTTCATTTTCTACAGCGTTTAGATAAAACACAGTGTTCGACTGTTCGATGCTTGAAATTATCGTACGACTTTTACTTCGTAAAAGATCGTTCTATTTTTTGTCACTTATACTTTAAAATGTGTGATTTTTAGATTTTTTTAAATTATTAGTACCGTTATCAGTGAGCTATTTATCGATGTTAAATATTCAACGTATTATGCAATAGTTTGAGTATTCAGTTTATATACGTACATTTGTCACGAGTGTTTCTGTTTAATCAGTTTCATACCTTAATATTTATTTTTCAACTGTGTACATTGCACACACAAAATAGGAAATTTTCAAAAAAATTTTGGGACATTTGAACATACATCACGTAAAGTATAAAAGGGGAGGGAAGTACTTGAAGGGAAAATTTGTAGCTTAGAATACATACAAGGTGTATGCAATACTTTTCTTTTAGTATCTTACGTAGATACAAAAATTGACGAGTTTCTTTTTCAATTTTAAAGGACATCATTGCCGACTCCTTGATTGGAGTTCCAAAAACATGATCGCAGCCGCGATTCAAGATTACGTGATGTTTTACGACACACACACGCCTCAAATAATGGAACCAGTGGAAAACGTGGAAGTAACGAATATTTGTGCGGTGAAATGGAATAACGCTGGTAAGATTCCGTGAAATACAAAATTACACGAAGTCTAACGCTTAGGCGAATATATTTTGTAATTTGAATATTCTGTTAGATTTTCGTTTGTATTTACCCTAGAAGTATAACTAAATAATTTTAATTATTCGTATCAATATATAAAGAGAGCAATAGAATTTGCTTATTTACTTATTTATAACGATTTCGAACTACTCGCTTGTTTGGAGTTTTCATTGTTCATTTAAATCAATTATTGCGCATATCGTAAACATTGTTCAATATGTAAACATCATATCGACGTACTTATACAATGTGTCCCAGTTCGTTTCCGATCAGACTTTCTCGGTACGTCTTACGGGTAAGATAATTAAGTAAGAACAGATTTTTATATAAACACAAGTCGTTTGAAACTTTGAATTAATTAGTCGTGACAATAATATTGGAATCATATTAGCTAGTAGGACACTTCTAAGTAACTTGTAATTCAGTTAACTATGAAAAGACGGTGAATATTCTTGAAGCATAAATCAATATGTGTGCAGAAAATCGATAATTAAAAGTCTTATGGTTAACGTGACAAAGTGACACTCTATGCTAAATAGAATACGAGTTAATTACTGTATATCGAGCAGATATACAGAATGAAAAATTCTTCAATTCCTTCACTCGAAATAAAAAAAAAAGTAACGTTAATGCAGAGTTTTAAGAATTTTAAGAATTTCAAGAGTTTTAAGAATTTTAAGAGTTTTAAGGATTTTAAGAATTTAGGAATGAAAAATTCTTCAATTCCTTCACTCGAAATAAAAAAAAAGTAACGTTAATGCAGAGTTTTAAGAATTTTAAGAATTTCAAGAGTTTTAAGAATTTTAAGAGTTTTAAGAATTTTAAGAATTTAAGAATTTAATTTTTCTAACACACTCCAGTTTATACCGCAAAATCTAATTGCCTAAAATGAAGGAAAGAAACACAACACGTCACTAAGGTTCTATAACAGTCAGGATACGGCGCTAAAAAATAAAAATTTAAGAGTTTCAAGAATTTTAAGAATTTCAATTTTCTAACACGCACAAGTTTATACCGCAGAATATAATTGCTCAAAATGAAGGAAATTTAAGACACAGCTTGTCATTAAGGACCTGTAGCAGTCGCGATACGACGCTAAAGAATGAAAAATATGAAAGAAAGAGCAACGTTATAGTTTTCTCATTTCCACCAGAGATGTTCTACAAGAGACTTCTGCACTGCCAACAGGTAACAAGCTAGTTATATGCACCTTGTTATCCGAGATCAAGCTGTACTGCTTAGAGACGCTGAAGGTAATTTGGACGACAATGTGCAACAGCTCGGAGTACAATTCACCGTGTCACGTGCGTTGCGTCTGCTGGTATCAGGACGACCAATACATTGTCACGTGAGTGGTATCTATCTGTTTGGACGTGGTCGCTGTCAAACGTGCGAGATAAACGCGAACGACATCGATTGCTGCTTATCCCCTCACATCGGTTAACCGCGTTTTATTACGATCAGATGCGGCTTGATAAACGTTATTGATGTGTACTTGCCGCTGCCATTTATGGATCCTGTGCATGCCGCGAGGAAAATGCTTTTAATCGACGCGTTAAGTTGATTCCACGCCTCGGAAACGATCGTGCTTAGTGAAATTATCGTCGATTAAAATATCGCACGAAAGTGATTCGGTTGAGTTTCTCGTTCGTCGCTAAATCAACTCCATTCGTATCCTACACTTTTCTTCTGTAGTCGATTTTCGAAATAATACGAACTTACTTTAATTCTAATTTCATATTTCGTTTCACCAAGCGCGAAACCGGCTTTAAGCGATTTTCTTTTCTTTTTCGCTGCCAGCAGAATGTTTTTCCAATAATAGACACGCGATCGAATGCCACGTGGCACGTTTAACAACAAAGAGACGATAAATAAGTCTCCTTTCGATACCTGCGCCATTGGATATATATCGAATGCCAGGCGATAAGATTTTTAATATTAGAGAATTAAATTTCGCAACGAGAGCGACTCCGGTTATAATCGTGTTACGAATGATTTATGTTATCCTCCGCAGGGGTTGCAAGGGATTGATCACGATTTATTCGACGAAAAAGGGTATCGTTGTTAACTCGGTGATGGCGCACAATACGGGACTGTTGACGCTCGTGTTTTCACCGAATTATGAGTATCTAGTGTCCTCTGCGACGGACATGACCGTTCGCATTTTTAGGTGGTCGTCGCTGGTACTAAGTTTGGACATCACCTACTACGAACCTACCAGGGTGAGTTTTTACATTGTCACGTCAACGTGCGTTACGAAAAGTAGCACGTTTCGTTTGTCTTACGAAGAACAGTGTGTCAGTTTGCCATGTAAAGAAGCACATTTCAGTTCATTTTTCTTTCATTTCATAGCCAATAATTCGAATGTGCTACGCTTCGCGATGAAAAACGAACTGACTGAGAATACGTTGATGTAATTTAACATTAATTTTCATTGTTATACACAATTTTGCGGCAATTTTTTTTACAAATATCCGCCAATCCAGGGTTGTAATTTCACCTCTCAAAAGCCACGATAATTCCTTTCTTACACGCTGTACATATTTAACTCTTTGCAGTCGAACCCCGGAATATTCCCGGCAAGGCGTTCTTACCTACTAAACTCTCTATGGACCCTTTGCCCGAAAAAACGGGGAAAAATAATAACAACATACACACAGTTCGAATAAACTCATTTGAATAAAATTTACACGGTTTTTGGGCAATAACTGACCTACCAAAAATGATTCCGACCAATGTGACTAACATGCCTACGGAAAATACGACCTTAAAGAGTTAAAGCTACATTCAACGCGAAGCCTTACACATCAAATTCTCCAATTCCCAACTTCTAACAACTAATCCAAGCTCTCTTTCAAATCCACGAAAGAAACCGTGTCTAAACACAGCTCTCGAACGAACATATACGTTTCAGGCGTTGGCCTGGCACCCGTACGAATCCGCCTTGTTATGCATAGGCGGTGGCTTAGGCGACGCTTCGCTGTCGCTGTGGAACGTGAACAAGTTAGATCCGGTGAGTTATCGTCACGTTGACTTTCAAGGCGCCGTGGAGAACTTGGCGTGGAATAAGATCAGCGGCGAGCTGGTCGTTCAATGGTCTCACTGGACTGGCCAGAATAGATGCACGATGATGCCGGTTCTAGCCAGCCTCGATCATATCGTCGATGAGTTGCCGGTGGACAAGGACTCGCAGGTCCACGATATCACATGGAACTCCGATCACACGCAATTAGGTACGTGAGAATCATTTCGTTCACTTTTTATTCGTGTCCACGTCTCGGGACTTGCAATCGTTATTGCATTGCCGGCGAAGTGTGTCGTGTGCATGAGACGTAATAAGGGGTTCCGAGTTCGAAGCTCTCTCAGTACTGTAGCAGGGTATGAACGAACTCAATGAAGGTTATTAAAAGTTTTGCTGTGGGGGGAAAAGGGATTGAGTAAATACTCGTTTGAGAACCACTAGTTTCGAAGGTGTTCTGGTTTTGTTCGTGCCACTGTGATTGATAGCGTATTGCGTAAGATGTTTTCCGCGAGTCCTCCGGATGATAATAAGGTACGTGGGTCATTTTTGAGAAGTTCTCGGAACGAAGTGGAAAGACAGATCGTTTTCGAATTACAGTGAAACCCACCTATCCGCGGAGATAGGTTCCAAGATCGTTTGGGGATGCTTGAAACCGCTGAATAAGTAGCGAACAGTAGGTATATGTTAGTATATACTTAAAAATTTAAATAAAATTATTAGATGTAATTAAAGATCAACGAAGATAACTAATTGTAAAATGAAACAACGTAAATGTGATAATAAAGTCGATCAGCGAAAAATTGTCTATTTAATTTTTTTGGAACCGCGGCCAACCGCGAATACTGAGTTTCACCGTGTTTTTATTTTTAAACGTAATACGCTTTTAACATCAATGCACTTGGATCAACGATGTTCCTAAGCCATTATAATTTCTTCGTTAAGACTTGCAAAATATTAGACCCTGCAAGCTTATGTTTTGAAGAATTTGTGAAGTGTTTTGTTCACATTTCTTACTAATTTTTCATTGAACAATATTTGTGTGTTTTTTGTTGTTTTTAAATGTAAACAACGGTCCCTGAAAAATCCTGATCCTTTCTTCTGTGAGTTCTCTCAACAATTTCTGGTATTAGACCAATTTCTTTTTACGTGTTGGAAGTTTGGTCAGTTTGAAAAATTTTTGTAAAATTGAAGACATACTAAACAGCTTTGGTAGCTTCGACGATTGCAGCTACCTTAAACTTACTGCTTCCATGATTCATTTGGAAAGTTAAAAGAAAATTAAGAAAATTAATATTAGCTATACATTCTCTCAAAACTTTACAAAAATATCTCGTCCAATGAGCAGGGGTAGAGAGTAATTTAGGTTCGTGTAATTTTTTTCAAGGAAGGGTAGTATTTAATGATTTGTCGTTGCAAGCTTTCCTTGTTTCGTGACGTGTTTGTTTTCTCTGTTAATTTGAACTTAACAAAAGAAATTAATACGTCGAAATATATTTTTCTCAGCCACCGTGTGCGGCGAGTCTGTATTGATGTGGAATTTCTTTGGTAACGAGTATCAACATCATCAGAAGCGTAAGAAACCACGAAAAGTTCAGGAGGTACAGGATAACGCTAAAAGTACAAGTTTTAAAGAATTTAGACATTTTAATATACGTTAGAATCGTGCACGGTAGGATAATTTATGTATCGTTGGCTTCTGTACTTATTTTACAAACGTTGTTACTTATTTTCTTTTCATTAATTTATCGAAAATTTTCTGATATTTTCAAATGAATTTTTTACTTATTTATTGTAGCATCTAGAAAATATTTATCTTGTTGAGCCTTTACTTTGTAAGATGCATTAAATGCTTTTAGAACTGAATTTAATCGATCTACTTTTATTCCTATTCGTTGCTCAAGACAATATCTATTCGTTTCTGTTGGTTTCAAGAATACAGAAACTGTTAAGTGAAGTGTAATCGTTTAAAAATGCAAAGAGGAAAAATATTTTAATACTGAAAATAGAATTAAAGACCGTGTAACATTTGTTGCTTAAATTTTACACGTTATTCCATGTAATTTACTATTAATTGTAACTACAACTTCGTCATCACAAACTTTTATCAATTAAATCGTGACCATCGCGCTAAAGTGCCTGTTTAAATATGTAATTATACATTCACGATGCATGTTAATTCAAAATTAATTTTTCATCAAATTCTGGAGCGTAAAATTGATGCGCCTACCTGAGTTCGACTCAGACACGTCGTTCAAAAGAACACTGTAGACTACTTGAAATTTATACCGTCACTTAAACAGCAGATTCAGTTAATAGCTTCCTATAGAACTGGCTGTATCGACTTGTACACTTTCCCAAGAAACATCCTAAAATGCCACATTAATCGTGTCGAATACCTGCTTTCCCAACATTTCGCTGTATCTCGATCTTCACACTTTCACACACAAAGACCACGCATCCTCTTCTTTCTCGTACTTCGATTTACGCGTTTCACCTTCGCGTCTGATCATTTTCAAACGAGAAACAAGGGGAAGAGAAAAAGGAGAGCGGAGAAAAAGTCACGTGAAAGTCGTTACGCGAAGCAATTATAGCGTGGCGACGATTAAGGACGATTATAGTCGAATCGCGCGCAATTTAAATTTTCCCGGGTCCATTTCACAGCAGGTTTATCGATCGTCTGAAAGATAAGCAAGCACAGCCTCGCGTTAACGGAGAATAGAGAACTGTTAACGACTTCTTCTCGGCTATCGTCAAATAGATTTCCACGTTTCACCACCTTCGGTTATCCCCGACTAAATTATGTAATTATCCGTCGGCTGCTAATTAAACGAGGAGAGGAAAGGGCGTGTGGACAACCGCCCTGGACATTGTGGCGCAATTAGCGTTCTCTGCTGTTCGATACGTTTTCTTGAAGAAGCGCATATCGTCGCCAATGTCGATTTCGACTAGCAATGAGTTTAACGATTTTGTAAGGCCTGCGGTAGATGAATACGAAATTGAAATTATTTACAAGAATATTTATTTGGGAGAATTAATATGGATGCTTTAAATTAATTTTTCTCTTAATAAACGAGTACCGAGATAGAATTTTTTATATGAATTATAGAGCTCGCCAATTTTTAAAATACGAAATGATTACCGAAATAGAATTTTTTGCATAAATTACAGAGTTCGTGAATTTTTAAAAAGTGAAATGTTTTTACTCGGTAATTTGACACTTTCTTTTTATTTGAGCAGAAAGATAATCAATTCGATATTTTGTTTCAAACCAGCACCATTTCTTTAATATTTTTAAGCATTAGTAATGATATTACTGATACTAAATCTAAATCAGTCACTACACTGATATTGAATTTAAAAATTCATTACGCGGAAAACATTGCAAATTTAAAAAGTCTATTCAAGCCATCGTATTATTCACAAAAAGTATTAAAACTTTGTCCTCTTCTGTTTGACTCACAAATCTTTGTACTACTTACGAGAAAAACGCTGGAAAATACAATAGTAGCGTGAACACCCTATATGTATCGTCGTCACGCGAAAACCATTGCAAATTTGAAAAATCTATTCAACCCATCGTATTACATATAAAAAATAATTAAACTATATCCTCTTCTATTTTCCTCACAAATCTACCGTTTACGAGAAGATTGCTGGAAAATAATAGCGCGAACACCCTCTGTACTTTTACTGATATACATATGATACTAACTTTGCCGAAGAAATGTATATTTAAATCACGCAATACTTTCTGTACCACCGTAACAGGTGTTGAAATACTTACGAACGGCGATACATTCCCCGCGACAACCCTCGAATTTTACTTTCATAGGTCGCATGTCCAAGCTCGCGGTCTTTTTCCTCCTCGCTTCGTCCACTTATGGAAATCAGGATTTCGTTCGGATTAAACGGTCCGGCAAGGACGCGGTTAATGGTCTGAAATTACCATCCTCGTCTCGGCCCCCTCGCTTAACATAAAGCAAGTAGAACAGACACGGCATTACGGACTCGCGCTAATGCCACGATGTTCGCTAATAACAAGCGACCGAGGCCCCCGATGAAAAACCGCGCGACCAAGCCAGTTAGCCGCGCGCGGACCAGAGCGGAGCCTTAACGTTCCGCTCGAGCCGCCGCTCGATCGTGTCCAATTGAACGATAAGTTAATCGATGACGGAAACCAGAGCCCAACCGCTTGAATTATCGTCCGCGTAATTTCGCCCCACCTCGACCGCCTCGCAATCACTGTATCTCTGATTCAACGGATAGATCGAACTTACGAGGATGATCGGCGTGATCTGCGAGCAGATCCGTGATGCTGGGACTTTTCGATGCTTGAATTTACGATACGACGCGCGGAATATAGTGGTTCGAAAAGGTAGTTAATGGGAGTGACGTTTGTTTCTTCCTGTTTCATTCATTACTTATCCGAAGGAGGAGTCAGGTTGTAGACGTTGTCGCGATTGTCATAATTTCTGTCACTTTAGACGATCGCGCGTGGAGCTGGGTAAAATGTTATTTCTAATGGTAAATAGGAAATAGTCTACTTTAAATCTTAAATTTTAATAAATGAAAATGAAATAGTATTTTATTTGAAGGATATGGAAAATGGTGGGGCTTTGTTTTTGAAATATTTTATTTCTTCTAATTTATTTTCAGCTTACTCGTAATTAAGCGAGTAGCCTAAGCGAGGAAAATTTTAAGTCATCTAGGTACTTACTTTTTTACATGCGAATAATCGTGAATGTCATGATACTCTCTTTTTCAATTTATTTTCATCGTCAAGAAATATTTGAAATAATTAATTTTATTTCTTCGAAAATCTGTTCCATTTTTCTGCCTTATTTGATTAATCTTATCTGCCAACTTCATATGTTATGAAACTGACCAACTCGAACCTTCGCGATCTTACAAAAGATATAAACAACACATCAAAACAAAGTTCCAAGAAATTGAGAATTCAGTCACAAACAAAAACAACCCTTATTAGATCGTTCCACCAAATCTCTCGCCGTCTATTTTCACTCTCCATCAATTAGTCCCATACCCGCCGTGATCACCGCGCACGCAACAACATCGTACGACAAAAGCTCCATTTCTCCCTTTTTTTTTCACCGCGAAAGCAAACGCGTCACGCGATTGCATTACTCGCAGACCGTTAATTGACCGGCTGGATGCTGTGTTTACGGTGCGCCAGCCGTCGTAAAACGGTTGCTGATTATTATTAGATACGATCACGCTTAGATATTGCCTCGCTTCGATGAAATTTATCGTCGCGTCAGATTCTGTCTCGATTCACCACTCTTCCTCTCACCCATTTTTTTTTTGCGAGGTTCAAAAGGGTAAAACGATTTTTGGCGGGTGTCAACTGTTCGAATAATTTCTCTCCTCCGTCTTTCTCCCTTCTGTTTCGTTTCCGTTTAGCTTTCCGTTGGCGTGTCTGAACGCTTCGAATCGATTGTAATAGGGCCTTCGATCTTGTAATCGGATATCGGACCGCGATGAACAGCCAGCTGATTTGCATTCTCCGCGACGGACCGTGTAATAAGAGTGCATCGGCGCTCGTGTTCGATTGAAGTTACAATGGCCATGAATTTTAAGGTGATTATTTTAATAACGTAACCGTATTTGCATTGCTGGAATCGACCGTGGACGCTGTAATTGCCCGACGGTTCGCCGCACCGCCTCGATTTTCTCCTGTTAAAACACTGTCGAACTTGTAAACAAATTGCCGGAACGACGAATAGCCTATCGCCTCTGCTCTCTGCTTGTCGGCTAATCACTTTTCTTCTTTCTTTCTTTTTTTCTTTTGCCTTTTGCTACTCGCTTCGAAGCGGTGCCGCGAGGGTGCAAACACCGAGCGAGAAACCCTTTTGATTTATTTAGTGGAACGGTGATTACAAAGTCCGACTACGATTTATGTTAATTGAGTATGACTCAAATGAGGTATTGCAAGTCTAGTTCTATGATTTTTATCGAGGTAGAGGTGTAATTTTGTTTTTGCGGAATATGATCGATCGTGGTATAGTTCGTTAGGTCTACTTCGAACCGTAAATTGGTGTATTTAAATTCGACAGAGTTGGGGAAAATTTAGGGGAAAAATATTAGACGGTATATGGTTTAGATAAAATTCTATTTTAATCCTTTGCACTCGAAGGCCCTTTTTTCTATAAGGAAGTAGCAAAAGTTAATGTAATTTTTTAAAAGTAATATTTTTATTAGAAGTTGGTTCTTTCAAACTATTTCACTGCTGAGATCTTTGAACATGTAGTGAACAATTCACGGAGGTCCATAGACCTGCTGTCTTGGAAAATATCATGCAAAGTAATCTAATAAATATCGGCTGATAAAGTATTTTTATTCGAGCATAAAATGAGATATCTTAATCTTGTATTTCTATAGTATAAAAAAAATGGATGAAAAATCGAATATCAAAGTTTTCGTTTGAAGAGTATCGAAGAATCTCGTTTGAGGGGATTGGAAAGGGCTAGAATACAAATTACTAAGTTTCAATCTGACTTTTGCAACGTGCACAGCGACGAATAAATCTTTGTCCTCGATGATTTTTGCGATTCTCTTGGAGATTTGAAGGGTCAGATGCGGTCGCAGAGATTACGGGGTTCGACGTGCTGATCGATCGTGCGCATAGATACACACCGAG